ATATATAAATTTAGCCAAGATTAACATACAACACAGAGCAAAACACGGTTAAATAAATGCAGCGTACTGCTTCTTGATAATCTGGATAAAACATGATGTATTTTACAGAATGTGAATGTACAGTATAATATTAAACACCAAGGGAATGGTGCAACATACACAATATTTGATTGTGTCTGTGTGGGTTTTCTTTGTGTCATACATTTATATATTATTTAAAAAAATCAAATCCAATCAAAAAATATAAATTTTACAAAAGTTTAAATGTTTTTTCATGTAATAAATTTATTAATCAATTACATTACATTACAACATTTTGCTTTTTAAAATCAGTTTGAAATGATTATTTCCAATCTGAGGACAGGTGATTTTGTAGGCAATAATCCACTAATCAGTTATTAAATTATTACAAATTAAAAAATAAACCTACAGATAAAAACCCTTGATTATGACATTGAAACATTTGATTTTAGAAAATGCTCATTTCTTTTTGAAATTAGCAATTTTTTGGGTTTGGGACATTATTTTACCAAAGTTTTAAGATTCAGTGAGCTGTAAAGGCTTATAAAGAAATTTATTTCATAACACGAAAGGGACAAGACTTCACCTTTGCTTCTCCTGTTAGGCTTCAGGTTGGTCTGGACATCATAATTTCTGGTGATGACTGGTTCAGTCTGACATCCTATTTCTCTGGTTAATTTTGGCTGTAAAATACAATAAAATAACATTTTGTTATTATTTTCATTTCAATTAATTCACTCAAGATTCGTGTATAATATTCAACATGGTGTTGTTGTCTAGCTATGAGCAAACCATCAGTCGAACAGCAACAGAACAGTGCAGGTACCGGGTCACAGAAAATCATGTCAAGGCTCATAAAATGTCCAAACACCAGCTAGCATTAGCACCAGCTAACAATCATTTCACCTCTCCACACGTGGTATTCCTAACCGCGTTAACATCCTGAACATGCTTTGCACAAACTTTTTTTGTACTTTTTTATACAAACATAAATTTGAACAACTCACCTTCAATTATAGTAATAAATTTACAAATATGTGAATATTTGACTGCCTGATTACATCCTAATAACGACTCCTTGTGATGATCATCAATAATAATTTATGGTAGTGTCGTGGACTAATTATTTCTGTCATCTTGACACTGTCCACTGTTCGTATCTTGTAATATTATATGACTGTTTCTTTAATCGGTGGCTCCAGACGTCAGAGGCTATAACATCAAGATGGCCTCTTTCCACGTACCGATATGGTCACCTTGGGATTTAGAGCTTGTCATTGGCTGTTAGTGACATGAGGCAGGTTGTGATTGGTTGTTCATTGTCACATGATGTTAGCTGAAGGTATAACATTTCTTTTCCGCCCTCAGACGGGCGGCCACATTCAACAGACTTCCTGATTGTTTTCTGTTTCTTGTCTGCCCATTAATAAATAATTTTACGACCATACTCGCAAGACTTTTTTTGTCTTTTTAACATCCTTTTCAACGTGTTTTCTGCCCATCTTGCCGCGACAGGTAGTAAATTATTTTTGATAAGAAGTGATTAGAAGAAGCAGCAGAGTCCAGAGTTGTCAGTTTGAATCTCTTGGAGCTCTTCTGTGTGACTGAGAGTATGGACGGTTGTTTGTCTCTTCGTCTGTGTCCCTGATGGACTAGAGCTGTCCGGGTGTCCGCTGCCTTCACCCAAAAGTAGCTGGGACCGGCTCCAGCCCCACCCTGACCCCGATTAGGAACAAAGACAGAATGGATGGAGGATTTTTCTTTATAGCAGGAAACATTAAATCATAAATCATTATTCATTTGATGATCTGAATCAGTTTAGTGCTGTTTGTAAATATATTTGACAGCTTTGTATAGGGATGTTGACATTTCGTCAGCAGCTGCTGCCATTTCCTTCCCAAACTGCAGTGACCAGATTTTGTGAGGCTGCTCGGTGCGTTTGCTTATAATTTCCTCCTGCTTCGTTATTTCTACGAGTTTCAACAAATCGGACTGCCGTCAGGTAGTTAGCTACAGCCTCGTCTTCCAGTTTTTAATTTTTGTTGATGCGTTTTGAAGAGACAATTTTTTGAAAAGACGATCAAAGTAAATCACCTGAGTTTTTCTAGCGAGCCCTTAAAGAGATAAGCTGCCATGAAGAACATTATTTTATCTGCCCTTGTTCCAAATTTGATAATGATTTGAAATGTCGAAGTATGTTTTTTTTTCTGGAACAGTGCTTGTTGCAAAGTGTTTTGATGCTCGTCTTCGTCACATTACACACACCGTCATTGGTTGATGAGCTTCGTTTACAAAACAGGTGTCCACATGGTTTTTGAATTGTTTTAATTTCCTTACTTTCTAAGACACATTAAGTTGATTTCATGCTGCAGTTTGCCTTGTAATATTATTTTATACCTTTTCTGCTACTTTTGAATTGGCTATTATTAAGTTTTTATTAGTTTTTAGGATACAAGATGCTTCCTACAAAACCAGAATGGGAATCTTTTCCTAAAATTTCATGGCGATATCTTGAACACTGAGGAAGTTATGAGCAAAAATAGAAAACAGCAAGGTGAAATGGTCACAAAGGCCCCATTGGTTCTGCTGTGAAACTGCAGCAAGAAAACATGAGCTGATTTCACCTAAACAAACATCAATAACTTCCCTCATACTTCAGATAATCACATAAGTTTGGTGTTATGTTGTATGGTTTGTAATGTTCTTTTGGAATCCGCTGTCAGATTTAATATTGGTGTAGGACATCCTTACTTTGTAGGAATGAACACGTTTGTAATGTCTGTTCAAAATAAACCTGCTGCTTATGACTTCTGTAACATTTTAAATAAAATATCAGCCCGCCACTAAAAAAAAAAAAAAAGCCACTGATGATGCAGAAATTAAGAAACTAACATTCAGTTTTGTTTTCTACTGAAGTGGCGGAAAAAAGAAGAAGAATAATTTAGGTCTGGGTTGAAAAGTCTAGGTTTTAGATTTTTGGGGTTGGACCAGTACAAGTGTGGTCCAGATGCATAAAACGTTTCATAATCACAACTTTATTGAAGTTTCACAAATCAGATTAAGGTTATACAAATCTCAAAACTTTTTTTTTAAATATTCTACTGTTAGTGTAGAATAATCCCATCCAGGTTTGGAGAGTCTAGGGGTTGCAGTTTTCGAGCTGGACCATGTCTAGTGTGATCCAATTGCCTAAAAAAATTATGAAATCAAACTGTATTGAAGTTTCACAAATCAGAAAAAACTTTCACAAATCTCCAACATAGTTTTAACTATTCTGCTATTACCGTAGAATAATCTAGTCCAGGTTTTAAGAGTCCAGGTGTTGTGGTTTTTTAGCTGGACCAGGTCTAATGTGGTCCAGTAGCCTAAAAAATGATGAAAAATGATATTTGTTGAAGTTTCACAAAACAGAAAAAGCTTTCACAAATGTCAAAGTTATTTTTAATTATTCTTCTATTAGTGTAGAATAATCTAGTCCAGGTTTGAAGAGTCTAGGTGTTGTGGGTTTTGAGCTAGAGCAGATTAAACACGCTCAAGGTAGAGAAAAAGTTTGTTAGCTGTCATCGCCCTTTAGTCCTTTCCTGAATCGGAAGCGAACTTCAGCTTCGTAAGATAAAGTATGAAATAAAAAGTGCCCGTGTCAATGGTACTCACCTGCAAACGGATTGTCCCCCGAGGTTGCAAAGTCGGCTGGACAGCAGGTTGCAAAGTCGGCTGGACAGCAGGTTGCAAAGTCGGCTGGACAGCAGGTTGCAAAGTCGGATGGACAGCAGGTTGCAAAGTCGGCTGGACAACAGGTTGCAAAATCGGCTGGACAGCAGGTTGCAAAGTCGGCTGGACAGCAGGTTGCAAAATCGGCTGGACAGCAGGTTGCAAAGTCGGCTGGACAACAGGTTGCAAAATCAGCTGGACAGCAGGTTGCAAAATCGGCTGGACAGCAGGTTGCAAAATCAGCTGGACAGCAGGTTGCAAAGTCGGCTGGACAGCAGGTGGTTTAAGACCTACTGTTGGAACAGCGTTGCTCTTTAGTTTTAGGATCTTGGTAAAGCCCATTTCGAACTCTGTCATGTTTGAGAAGCAATCCGGAGTGAAATGGCGACTGCAAACTCCAGCACTGGGCGGGAGTTTGCCCTCTGCTACTTCCAGAGCACCATACCACTGGCGCCTAATCTCCAAACCCTCTGGAAACATATGTATTCCATTCGTACTTTTACAGCCCACTACACTACACCTACGTCCCATCCTATCCCACAGTACACACTAAGCTATCACCAAGTGCTAAAGCTAAATGCAATACTGCAGCTATCTACCCTTAACTATGAATTTAACAAACACTAAATCTAAAGACTATAAAGATTTATATGACTAAATATTCTAAAGTACCTAAATTAGACGGCTAAACTGATAGTTAATGAAATGCTAACCTGAAAATGCTATCGATAACAATGCTACTCCTGAAAGGTCTCTGCAGGGGAGTGGCTTCTTCTTCTTCTTGTGGTGTTTAATGGCGGTTGGCAATAAACTGAAGGTGTGCATTACCGCCACCTACTGGTATGGAATGTGATTCAAGATGATTTCACTAATATTTATATCCTACTAAAATTATTGTACTTCTTTTTACATTTTCAAATCTATCTATTCAAAGTAAATAAATAAATAAAAATAAATAAATAAATAAATAAATACATAAATAAATAATACTACTATCAACTCAAATTGTTTTGCAGATTTGCAAAGAACATCAAAATTAGCCCAGAAATAGGTTATTACTTAACCTTTCAGACACATCATCGATAACTTATCTTCAAAACAATGTTAATTTTGGAGTAAGCTACGTTGTTTAACTTCTAAAAGTCCATTTCAGCCAGTTTGAATCAAAGCAAAAATGTTTAAGGTAAATAATACTTTCTCAAAAATAATGATCATCTGATATCGAGAGATCATATTTTTATGACTAATTGAGAAGCAATCTTTTTGAGACAGCATTTAATTTTGAACCGTATCTTTAACGTTACTTTATCTTATTTTGGAGAGCGTCTGAATCATAGATATAAAGGCTATATAGGTTATATAGCCTAGGATATATGTATATACACAGTATATATAT